GGGGGGGCAGAGGCAAGCAGATTTAAAGCTACGGAGAAACCCTGTCTCGAAAAAATAAAATAAAAACAGAGCTGTTACACAAAGATACCCTGTCTCAAAAAAAACCCAAATCCAAGAGACCAAAAACAAAACAAAACCACAAATCCCAGCACTTAAGTGGCAAAGGAAGATGGATCTCTGAGTTTAAGACCTTCCTGGTCTACAGAGCAAATTCCAGGACAGCCAAGGTTACACAGAGAAACACTGTCTTAGGAAAAAAAAAAATTCACAAAATTAGTTTAAACCAACAATACAGTGTGATCCTTTCAAAATCATTTAGTTGCTGCTATTCTAATTGAGGAGTGACCAGCGTTTTCAAAAACTACTGTACAGGGCTAGCAAGATGGCCCAGCAGGTTAACGGTACTTGACATCCTGAGTTCTGTACCCAGGACCAACAAGGCGGAAGGGAAGGGGAAAAAACCTCTACAAAGTTGTCAAATCTGAACACATGCACTGTGGCTCACTCGTACATTAAATTGTTTTAAATCAGTGTACAATTGCATGAAAATACTAGCCATTTTCCCTATTTGTTTTAGAAAGAGAGCAATAGCTCTTCTTTATTTAAAGGACAGTCAATATTTTCAGCTTTATAGGACTTGGGGCATAACTTAAGTGGTCATGTAATTATACGCTTCAAGCCTGGGTTTGATCCCTGGAACCACAACAACATAAAAACGATTATAAACATCAATCAGGTAGGGTCTTCTCTTTAGATCATGTAAAGACAGGGACATATTCCTTTGAGCTTCCTATGGTTATGTCTGTGTAAAGTTGAGTGGTCCTTAAACTAATTTTTTGTAATGTTTTCACATATTACCAATTCTTTCCTCTTTTAATCGAAACATCTTTCACCACTTGACTTTATGTAGAATTGTTGAGAAAAGTGCCTATTAATCAACAATACTTCCACATTATATTGACACCAATATTAAGTATATAGCGAGGGAGAAAAAAGACTAAGCCCCATGACTCAGCACCTGAAGCAGAGTCATACAAAGCAAGTCTAGTCTATATAGTGAGAATCTGTAACAAAAACAAAATAATAACAATCAAAATTTTAAAAGATGACTATAATCAACTCTAGGTTATTGTGTTCTTGCAGAATTATCTTAAAAGCAAGTCTCAAACACTTGTTTTCTTTTAGGATAAGAGTATTTACTATAACTGCAATTTAGTCATAAGTTTGGTAGATAAAGAATTAACTATAATCTATATGGCTTGGGAATTAAATCAGTGGTAAAATATAAGCCTTAGTATGTATGAGGCTCTGGGTTCAACTCCTAGCATCAAAACAGAACTCCCACCATAGCCAAATCCATACACACAAATTCATAGCTCAAAGATTACAAACAGATCTAAACTTTATGTCAATGAGTATATTGCACTTAATCTTAGAAAAATAAGCCAGGTGGTGGTGGTTCACGCCTGTAATCCCAATTTCTGAATAAGGATAAGACAGATTTGATTTAAGCACTATAAAAAAAATCAAACCACAAGAAAAAGATGCTTCTTGGTTTTAAAAAAGGACAAAGAATAGGAATGAACGTAATTTTGATTACTTCATACATTAAAACAAAAAAAAAGTCAGTCAAGGTCATGAGTTAACAACCTTCCAAGAAGAGCTACAATTAATTATACAACAATCATCTTTGAAACTAAGACAACGATCATCTAACGAGCAATGACATAAAGCTAGCCAATATATAGCAAGATAATCAACTCACAAGCAATCAAAAAGGCTAACTTCTGCCAACGGCATCTTTTTTCTGCACACTTCTAAAAATAACTGCATGGGGATAGAGTTGTAGCTAAGTAGACAAAACATTTTCCCAGCATTCACGAGGCTTTGGGTTCAATACCCAGCACTGCATCATCAGATATTCAGCTAATCAATACTAAAGACAATTCAACTACACGAGACCCTTTCTTAAATTAAAGGCAGTAAAAAAAAGACATGGAACAAACTACATACCACAGTTATCTAAGTGGTAACACTAAAATGATCTTATTTTTCCTGTAGCTCCCCATTTTATAGTCTCTATACTTTTACGGAAAAAGCAATACAGAGGAAATCAGCACTGATATAATCTTAAGCAAAATTGCTGTAAAAATTAATTTAATCCCACCACTGCCCACTGAGAAAACAAGTGAAAGCACACAGTACAATGAAAATGATACTGCATGGCCAAGAGGGAAGGGATAGCCTACAAATACCTGTGCTAGAAGTGGAAAATGCTAGAAGTATCCCTGAGAGCAAGCCAACAGAGAAGCAGTGGAAGGAAGAGTTTTCCTAAGGAAGAAAAAGAGAACAGAAAAGAGAGGAACAGATCAGCTACCATCCAAAAACTCAGAGGAAAGAGAAAAAGAAAAATAATAGGAGTAAGATGTCTAGTTCATTACACATAGCAATGGAAGATGTGAGAATAAAAGGGAACAATCAGAAGATACTTTTATCATAGGAATGAATGAGTGCAAATTATTCTTTTTAAAAGGTAAATGGATTGAAGTGATGGCTCTCAGTTAAGAGCACCACTTGCTGGTTTGAGATAAGGACAAGGATACATTTCCTCAGTACCTACAAGGAAGATCACATCTGTTAACTCTAGTTCCAGGGGTTCTGAAACCCTCTTTTGGCCTCTTAGAGAAATACATTGTGGCACACACATATACATGCTAGCAAAAACAAAAACAAAACAAAAAACACTCAGACACAAAATAAAAATAAATCTTAAAAGAAATAAAAAGGAGCCTGGTGGTGGTGGCGCACGCCTTTAATCCCAGCACTTGGGAGGCAGAGGCAGGCAGATCTCTGTGAGTTCGAGACCAGCCTGGTCTACAAGAGCTAGTTCCAGGACAGGCTCCAAAACCACAGAGAAACCCTGTCTCGAAAAAACCAAAAAAAAAAAAAAAAAAAAAGAGGAAAGGTTAAGTTACTAACCATAGCATGGTGACACACGCGCACAATCCCAGTAATCAGAGGTAAGGGGCTCAAAATGGGGCCGGCCTAAACTAAATACAGAAGACTTGTTGAACAAGTGACAAAAGCAAATAATGAGAGATAGAGTGATCTTGAGAGGTATTCTTGATATGGAAGGACAGGTTAACTGGAAGAAAATTCAAAAGTGACAGCTTAATCCTGTATGAAAGCAAACAGCAAACCAAGACTGAATGTAAACAAAAGGTCTAAAGATAGCCAGATGATGTCACGGCAGTAGCAGCACACACCTTTAATCCTAGCAGTCCAGAGGAGACAGGTGGATCTCTGTGAGTTCAAGGCCAGCCTAGTCTACACAGCCAGTTCCAGGATACCTGGGACTACACAGAGAAATCTTGTCTTAAAGAAAGAAAAACACCTGTATAATGGCAGATCTATGGGACTCAAGACCCTCTTCTGTCCTCCATAAGCAAACATACACAGACAAAAAAATTCATCTTCAAACTACAACTGCAAGTGCTCTTTTCTAATAAACTCAATCTTCTGCCTCACAAAAACCACAAGAGAAGTTTTTTCAAGATTAGATAATTGTTAGGAGAACATAGTAGCAAATTAGTCTGGGTTTTGATGAGAACACACTCAATTTCTTTCCAGCTGAGATTTTACTACCAAAGAACCGAGACAAGATGGCAATATTTTCATTAAAAAACAAACAAAAAACCTACATTCTTTTTAGCCTAAAGCTGTTTGATTATGCTTATATTTATACACATAAAAACTAGAAAATAAATCATTATTAACTACACAGTTGAACACAGCCATACCTCAAACAAGATATGATGCTAAGCTTAGGTAAGTAAACCTAAATGAGACCTCTTGTTTATTACTTCTGTAAAGAGATCCTTCTTTGGAAATAGGTTGTCATGAACTTACTGTGCTGAGCCTGAACTGACAATCCAGTTCACACAGTGATGGAGGTCCAACCAAAGGCTTTGTTTGTTTGTTTGTTTGGTTTTGGGTTTTTTGTGGTTGCTTTGCATGCTAGACAAGTACTACACATAGACAGTTTTGGAACAAAATTTACTAAATATCTTTTTTAAAAGACATGATAAAGGTTGAAAAGCATGTGAGCAACAGCTGGAAAGCCGGCTTGGTCATTAAAAACAATAGCTGTGCCTCCAAACCAGCACCCAACAGTGACTCCCCTCCCCTCCTCTGGCCTCTACTAGCATCAGGCATGCAAGTGACACATAGCCACAGAAGGCAAAAAAAGATCCATAAGATTTTTTTTTTAAACTTAAACTTTTAAAAGACAATTATGAAAGTTGAAATTCACAGGTGAAGAAAAACTCTTTGCATGTTTTCCGTCATTTTCAAACATTTAAAAAAAATTTTTTTTCCTTCAAAAGGAAGCACAGGATAGATTGTCTTAAGGCTGGAGAGTTGCATATGCTGTCATGAGAAGAGTTCCCAGCATTAAAATGAAGTGAAAAATTCTACCATAAACATCACAAGATTTACAAGCACTTATAAATAAATCCAACACCCTCTTCTGAACTCCAAGGGCACCTACATAAACTCACATGTAGACACAAACATAAGCATTTAACTTAAAAAAAAAACTAACCGAATAAATAAATAAATAAATAAATAAATAAATAAATAAATAAATAAATAAATGGATTGCCTTAAAAGCACATGGGGGGGGGGGGGCAGGAGATGGGTGTGCAGGTAAAGATACTTGACACACACAAGTCTAGTAACCTGAGTTTGATTCCTAAACGTGTGAAGGTGGAAGGACAAGGGATTTATTTCACAAGTTTTTCTCTCATCTACACATACAAACCACAACGTGTGCACCCACTACTCATAGATCATGCACATAATGACTTATTTTCGTAATGCTTCATTTAGAAATGTGCTATTCTACAATCTACTGCAATTCCAATTACTGCACCCTTATAAAGCTATTTAAACCAACACAACACAATCACAGTAATTAATGACTTCATTTGTTTCAAACTTTTGGGAAGATATGGGTGACACAAATTTCTAGCTTTACAGCCAGACTGATCCTGAACTTGCTATGCAACCAAAAAACGGATCAAATTTGGGGTCTTCCCTGCCTCCCCTCCAGAGTACTGAGAATACAAGAATAAATACCACGTCCAAACCAGCTCATTTGTAAACAAGTCACCATTAGAAACTGCTTACATTTTATAGAACACTCATTTATCAAACCAACAATATTTTGCAAAAATGTTGACAGTTCATGTTCTAAAACATACAGCTTCAATTGTTCAAAAGATCTAACTTATATGAACCCATGTAATTGCAGTTTTAAAAGACTGACAATGTCAAGATCAATAGAAACATTTTATGTGGACTGTGAAACACATTTTTATTTTACTTTTGTATGTTCCCTGTTCTGATAATTATACTTATCCGTATCTCAAAATTGGACATGGGGATCTATGTATTTTGTTACTACCTAAATAATGGTGGGGTGTACTACCTAAATTATAGTGGCATTGAATGTTGAAGACTTTGAAATTTTCCATTTTCAACAGTATGTGAAATGAGCAGGGTGCAGTTTCTCATGCCTTTAATCCCAACACTAGGGAGACAGAGGCAGACTGAGCTCTGAGTTCAAGGCCAGCCTAGTCTACAAAGTGAGTTCCAAGAGAGCCAGAACTATACAGAGAAACCCTGTCTAAGGAAGGAAAAAAATAAATCGGTTTGTGAGTGATGCAGATGTTAGGATAAAATCTCACAAAGTAATGCTATTTAAATTAATGAAAAGAACTATTTATTTATAGCCATCAACATAAAGGTAAAAGTATTGCTATTTCATATGCTGAACGTAGAAAAAAGAAAGCACAACTCTGTACTAAGTGTGACACTAACTTTGCACATTATATTACTTAAGATAACCCGCAACTCCAAAAAACAGACAGATCCACTTGAGAGGACTAAGGAACTAAGATTCCCCTGAAACCGTACCCCAAAGACTTGCAATGTCTACAGCAGAGGCAGAACTTACACACAAAGCTGTCCTGGTCCAAAGTTCATACACTTGCATACTACTTACAGTCAACATGACAAATCATATAATTCATTGTACATCTGACATTTCAGTTTCTTTTTAATGATTTACCAATGTATATATGTCCTCAAGTTGTTAAAGTAATCATTCTAGAAATAACTAGAATTCACTCTGACCCACTTCAAGCTAACCACTGACATCACTATAGACTTATGCTTGACAAGTAAAGTTCTGCGTACTTAAACAGTGAGAGTCCATGCCTAAATCAGACCCATATTTTACTTTTAAGAGACTGTATTTTACTCTTCATACTATTGTATATAAAACCATTCTGATACAAAGACCAACAGCAGATGACAAAATCAAGAGAGCTGCTATCTATGCTAACAAAACATTTCACAGACTCATAGTTCAGACAGTGTTCGTATGGAATCCACAGGAAAGACTAGTCCACACCCCATCACCCTCTAACTGGGTGTTAAACCTTCCTTTCAATAATATCATTCAGTCTTAAGAAAAGGACCACAAATGGCTGAAAGACATGTTGCAACACGTGTCAGGCAAGTAGAAAGGACAAACAAAACATGATATGCTTATGCGAACAACCTTAAATTCAGACTTTGTATCAGTGGCTAGGAACCGATTTTAGAGGAGCTTAACTTAGAAAAATACTGAGAAATTACTTTAAATTCTAATTGTGTGTTACTCTGCTCAGAAATGAGGGAAATGACCCATGAGCAATGCTTTGGTCCTCATAATGAGAATGTTTTTATGTGTGTGTTTTTTAATTCCCAACTTTTTAGATTTCCGTGAAATACATACCTTCCTCCTATTGAGTCGTCTTGTGGTTGGGCCCCGGCAGTGTTCCTCTGTGAACGTCGCAGTGACCCCCCTGGATTGTTATTAGGCCGGTTGGACATTGGCACCTCTCTCTTGAAGGGACATACCCTTTCTAGACACTACCATTCACTGAAAGATAAAGGAGGGAAACAGTCTAATTAGATATGCACAATACTATAGAGAAGAAATGCGGGGCAGCAAGCAATACTACCTTATTATACTGTGTAACTTAACTATAAACATACTATAAAAGAACAGAAATTTGGAGCTGGAGTGATGGCTTAGTGGTTAAGAGTATTTACTGCTCATCTAGAACTTAAGTTTGGTATCCAGTACCCACATTAGGCAACTCACAATCACTTGGAACTCCAGCTCAATGGATCCAAAATCCTCTTTATCATCCTTAGGTGCAAGCATACATAATAAACAAAAACTAAGGGCCAGCAAAATGGCACACCTGGTCAAGGGACTTGTTGCCAAGCCTGAGTTTGATTCCTGGACCCATGGTGGAAGAAAGAGTACTAGTCAGTTGCCCTCTGACCTCAATTCATTTGCACACATGGACACACACTGCCAGACCATAACTAAATTTAAGTGGAATTTTGGGACTTTTTTATAACTGTGATAGGAAAAAATAGTTTATAATCTGACCCAATTCCATACAAAAGAACTGTTTACCCTTCTTTATTCTAAGCAAACTATTAACAAGTTCAAATTGCTACCCAAGCATAATAGCTCATTCCAGCACTGAAGAGAATGAGGTAGAAATGAACATTAAGTTCGATGCCAGATTGAGCTATTGCATCAAAACTCTGAATACAAAAGAAAAAATTCACCTGGGAGTAGGGGGAGGGTGGGGGAGGAGAGGGGTGGAGAAAGGAGTTATTACAAAGAATTTCAGTCCTTTCTTTGGTACCAAACAAAAGGGAAACAAATAACTGTCAATACAAGTTTTATTTTAAAAAATAATACAAACCAGTCGGTGGGGACACACGCCTTTAATCCCAGCACTTGGGAAGCACAGGCAGGTGTATCTCTGTGAGTTTGAGGCCAGCCTGGTCTACAAAGGAAGCTCCAGAACAACCACGACTGTTTTACAGAGAAACCCTGTCTCGAAAAACCTAGATAGAAGATAGATAGATAGATAGATAGATAGATAGATAGATAGATAGATAGATAGATAGATAGATAGATAGATAGATACAGACAGACAGACAGACAGACAGACAGACAGACAGACAGACATAGATGGCACTAAATTCCTTAATGTTTCTGTACATTACAACTCTGAAGTACACCATGACATGCAAACTTCAGACCCTTCACAACATGTTCGTTCTTACAAGTGCTTGTATTAGTTTCATCTCTCACTACACACTGGGTTCTCACAGACTGCCAAGAAGTTTTCACATATGACAATACCTCATGTTACAACACTCACAAATCACGATTCAGAATTCAACAAATGAAATACAATGGATTAATCAAAGTCTTCCCTCAAGACTCTACTGGTACTAAACCATAAAGCAACAAGTTTTATATTACAATAGCTATAGTTGGCACATTCACATATTAAAAATAATCTTCAGGGAAAAAGTGAAATAAACACAGAAAAGATAACAGACACTAGAGGAAAGTGTATCTGAAACACTGGTTTCAGTTAAATTTCTAACACTCACCTGTCCAATTTTCACTAAATACACAGATAACCACACTCAGGAAGTAACTCTACCAAACTTATTCTCCCTACGCCCCACTGCACTGTTAAATCTTTATTTTTTGTGCCTGTATAGCAAAACAGATACTCACATAAACCTGACTCAGCATTTCTTCCAAGAAGAGGGACAAATGAAACTATCAAGTCACAGTATACAGGATAACAATGTACAGATTTCCTATCCTACTTCTTACTATCTAACCCTAACAAGCCTAGATGACTAAGATCAAGTATCACTCACTTAACAGATGACTGCTCATCCACACTCAAGCATCTACAATTAAAGTTAGGTTGGAAGGCTGATATCTTGATTCCAGGACCACTGTCAACATGATTCTTTTTTGCTTTGAAACACCATCCCACACTAGAGCCTAGGGTGGCTCTGAACTCTTAGCTATCCTGTTTCAGTCTACTAGTGTTGGAATTACAGGTTTGAGTTACCACCACTTCCTGCTTAAACTGACCTTCACAGCTAAGTCCTTATTCAAATTCATCTTGGAGCTTTCCCTTGTTCAATGCCATATATAATCATGAGAAGTAATACGTACTCTATTATGAAAGTAAGACTTTCTCTAAGAGGCAGTAGAGTTCAGAGGTTTTAGGCCAGCCTTAGCTATGAGACCCTACCCACCTTCCCCTCACTAACTCCCTCAAAAATATAATGCATTAAAATCGAGAATCCTCTTTTCTCACTATTTACCAAATTAAGAATATTGTGAAGCCTGAAAAATAAGGCTGAACAAACCAGTAAAAAAATTTCTAAGATCAGTCATTTCTTCTCTAAAGTAGAAAAATAGTTCAATAAAACAAGAAGCAGAGAGATACAAAAGCTAACTTCCACACCTTCAAAATGTAAAATTAAAAAAAACAAGCTGGGTTTTGGTGCACACCTTAAATCCCAGCATTCAGGAGGCAGAGGCAGGCAATCTCTGAGCTAGAGGCCAGCCTGGTCTACAGAGCAAGTTCCAGGACAGCAACGGCTACACAGAGAAACCCTGTAGGGGAGGCAACAAGAAGAAAAGGCCAGGACAATTAACTAAGTCTCTACTAGGGGTGTAATGGATAAAAACCAACAAAGAATGAGTATCAAGTGATAGAAGATCCACCCTCACGCTTTGTGAAGACAAAAGCTACATCTAAAGGGGTTTTAAGATAAATGAAATGAGATGGAAAGACTGTGATTGACATCAGAATCTTCAGGAGGGAGGCTCCTCACCTATTATCACTAGAGTGAATCTAGAGAGCCTAATATAGGGAAAGTTGAATATAGTGGTACATTTGCCTTTAATCTCAGGAGACAGGCAGATCTATAAATTCAAGGACAGCTTGGTCTACAGTGCAAATTCTAGACCAGCTAAGGCTACACACACAATGTGACCCTGTCTCAACCTCCATCCTCCTACCACACATTTTCTCTCTCCTCTCTCTCCTCTCTCCTCCCACCCTCCCTCTCCTCTCTCCTCCCTCCCTCTCTCTCTCTCTCTCTCTCTCTCTCTCTCTCTCTCTCTCTCTCTCTCTCTATCTAATGCTGTTAAGGATGTAAAGGACAAGGAACTGTTTTAGAGGAAGTAAATTATATAGTAACAAAGAACTAAAAACAGATTGATCTTGCCATTTCTTACTGGATGAAGATGGTCTTGGCAAGCTGTTCTGCTGTTTCTCAGCCGTTTGTTGGTGTGTGGTATACTCCAATGATTCTAACCTTTGTTTGGGGGAAATCTCCTAAATCTTCCCATGTACATCCAATTGAAGTTCTGATCAAGAACATGTCTGTTACCTGACTCAGGTACCACACTCTTTTATTGGTTTTACAAGACAGGGTTTCTCTGTAGCTTTGGAGCCTGTCCTAGAACTCGCTCTGTAGACCAGGCTGGCCTCGAAGTCACAGAGATCCACTTGTCTCTGCCTCAGGAGTCTGGGGTTAAAAGTTAAAACTTTTATGGGGAGGGGACCGAGGTATTGAACAGCACTAATTCTACCATTGAACTACTTTAAGCTTTTTTGCTTTGCTTTGATCTTAGCCTTTAATGGCAAAGTCAACTTTTTTGTGTTGGTTTGCTAGTGTTTGAACCCAGATTCTGAGACATGCTAGACAAGTACTCTGCCACTTTAGCTACAGCACCACCAACTCAGCTGGCTTTTAAGTAAAGATTTGTATCTCTTCATACTTTTATATGGGGTATTTTCACTTAAAAAGCCTGCAGTGCTTTGGAATGAAGCCACACTCTTGAGTATATAACCATAAGCTTTTTAAGTCAGCATACCATGAAATACTTGCACATCCATTTTTACTGCTGTGTTATTCACAACAGCCAGAAAATAAAGCCAGCCTAGATGTGTCTGTTACAGTGAATGAATAAGCACAATATGTACAAAAGCCAAATGGAATTTTATACACCCATAAAGAAAAACAAAATCATAACATTTACAGGAATGTATACATTTCCAATACATTGAACAAATACCACATGTTTTCTCTCATATACAAAAGCAAAATTAGATATCTATATGTACGCTTGTAGGAAACAAAACCAGAAAAGTAGAGAGAAAAAAGATCTAAAGGGAGGCAGGACACAGTAATGTGGAATACATGCATCGGAAAGCAGGAACAAGCTAGAAGAAAATAAGGGAAGAACATGGGAGAGGGCAATGGTGAAGAAAAGGAGTAAAAACAAAGTATTGTTACATATGTATGAAGATGGCATTATGAAACACATTCCTTGTATGTTAACCTTAACTTTAAAAGAAAATTTCAGTCAGCTTAGGGGGAAACAGAATACCCAGAGCATAGAGAGTATTATTACCAAATAATGGTACAAGTCCTGAGCCAGGCAATACAAACAACTGCCAAGGAAAAAAATCCAAACATTCTTAGGAGTAAAGGTTTTCTCCAGAAGGAAAAAAAGGGAGGAGGGGGTGGAATATGAGGCTAGCAACTTGTGCTAGATAGGAACAAATCTCAGGAAGACCTAAATAAATGAATAGCAAACAGACAGTGAATATTCTTACAAGAAAGCTTGGAGCTTCATTAACACTGGCAGACAACACTACAATTATATAAGGCATGCTCTTCCAAAAAAGCTTCATTCCAAAGCACTGCAGGCTTTTTAAGTGAAAATACCCCATATAAAAGTATGAAGAGATACAAATCTTTACTTAAAAGCCAGCTGAGTTGGTAGTGCTGTAGCTAAAGTGGCAGAGTACTTGTCTAGCATGTCTCAGAATCTGGGTTCAAACACTAGCAAACCAACACAAAAAAGTTGACTTTGCCATTAAAGGCTAAGATCAAAGCAAAGCAAAAAAGCTTAAGGTAGTTCAATGGTAGAATTAGTGCTGTTCAACACCTCGGTCCCCTCCCCATAAAAATTTTAACTTTTACCTCTTAAAGTAGGGCTTTCACTATCTTGGAATA